TGAACACATTCAACTATATCAAAAGACGGATCTCTATTTCCCAGATTATCAAAGACGACTCAATAGGAGGAAAAAAAGGAGGAGTGAAAGAAACGTAACGAGATACTCGTGCAACCAGAAGATGCTGCATGACGAAGTCTATCGGGATTTTAAGCATCATAAAGACTGACTATTCTAAAAGATGCTTTGTCGAGTGCACCCGATCCGTATCGGAAATGGATTTTCACATCTTTATAAACTTGACGTAGAAAAGCATTGAGAATACTCAACTAGAAACGATGCAGATAAGTGTTTTACTAAGGCTAAATTTCCAAACCGAAAACTTTGCCACTAATTTACCCCTTTCAGAACAATGCCGGGCAAAATTTTAAATTTGTCTTGTTTTGATAAATTTTTACAAATAAAATCTATGTACTCAAACATTTTATTACATTTGATTATTCTTTACATTTTCTCCTTAAATTATTGTAGGTATTGTAGAGGTACGAAAGATTTAGAAAACTGATAAACCGAATTACGTATTAATAATGGACTTGAGGTCAAGATAACTTTTCAATAAGTTTGAAAATCGGAAGCTTTTGCAGAGCAAACAACTAAAGCTCAGTTTTCCGGAAAGTATTAAAAAGCACTCTATTTTATCGCAAAACAATTAACTGCAAAACTTTTTGTCCTCTATTATTTTTAAAATTTTATGGATAATGCGTCAGGTAAAAGCAGGTATTTCTAGGGGATATCAACAGATTAATTATTTTTTACCAACCTTCAAAACATTGGTGAAATCGTAATGTAATCAAATCATCCGGGTTTTTTTGACTTTACGTAGCTTTCTTTACAGTAAAGCAATTAAAATAAAATGATATCTCAATTTTCTAAAAGGAAGCAAACTCTTTTTTTTTACCGGAGGCAAGCTTCCTTTGCAGTCGTTTCGTTAAAATTATTGAAATCTAATTTAAAAGATATTGGGTAAGATATTGGCAATTCAGTGCGTTCTCCTGATTCATGAAACGGGCAATTTATATGCAGTCAGATTAAATCTCGACTCTAAATATTGACATTATTGAAACGTGGCCTTTAAGCGTGCCCACGTATGTTGACGAAACGAAACTAGCCATAGACCCTAATCCAACTAAAAGTTATTCCTTTGTACACCCGTTTTTAGAATTGTCCTATAAAACTTGGAAGCAATTTTGGACTCACAATGACGAAAAGGAAAGGTTTTGCGCTTCTTCTTGATGGTCGAGACATAAAACTTTCGTCGCGTCCGGAGTTGGAATAGAAGAAAATAAAACGTTGAAACAAATCGTTCGATTTTGTGTTAAAGCGGCAACCGAGAGTGATCTACGATGCATATCTATTAAAAATAAGATTCCGAGAAAACCCTCCTCCTAATTCCTCCTCCTTTAAAGGAAGGTTAACGGTAATAGTAAATCGATGCCAACAGCAAGGTTGTTAAGCATGAGAACAGGGCAGATGCTGTTTCCGTTAATGTGTTTGAAACAACCCGATCAAAGACACACGTTGCAACTGCTCCAGTGAAATTTCCATACGCTACAATGTTTAACAGGTTGAACAAACAGAAAACCGCTTTAATTAAAGTTTTCTCGACGTAACCGCATATTCTTGAATCTAATTCACTTTTTCCAAACACTATCAAGAATTCCTTTCCATAAAATGTCTCTTCGTGAAGTTCGCTCGACAGACTCGGGCACCAAACTTTATGTTGTTTTTCCCGAGAAAGGGGGAAATGGTTAAAATATTAAAACAGAGCTGGTAAAACCGCTTTAACGTTATTTCCGAGATCTGGAGTGAGTTTGCAGAAAGTCGCTAACCGGAAGGGTCATATCTGATATGGCTGAATGTAAATAATGAACGGGCTTGCAAAATGTAAACGTGCAGTTTGGCTGTAGTAAATCCTGCTAACCACAACCAACCGTGTTATCACCTAAGGATTTTATTGGACAAGATCACAGAGCTTTGCAGGATCAAACAGGAATTATCCTGTTTACACAACTACTATCACATTCCATGAAAACCCGAAATGCATTTACTTGTAAATGGAAGTGTTACTAATTTTTATACTTCCGAGCTTAATTAGAAAATGTGATTTTAAAATAAAAATTTTTTTAAGCGTTTTCATATAATTCGAAAAGCTTTAAGTTAATTTTTTTAATGTTAAGAACAAAATTATATTTTTATAAGCTTTGATAAGAGTAAGCAATTTTTCACGTAGTTGAAAACAAATTGTTTGACTTTGCGCATAATAATTTAAAAATTTAATAAAGTTTGTTGATGAGGATAAATAGCAATCAATAATTCAATGAATATTTAAGTAACAAATTGTCGCCTTGGCAAAAATTCATAAACGCTTAGAACTTTTCCACAAGTTTCATCATAATAAATCCAACTCTAAGAAGCTTTGTAAGTATTTAGGGAGTAGAGCTTGCAATATAAAATAGCTCATCTAAGCATGTATAGTGGGTATAAAGCGGCACCTGAATTCACTCTAAAGTTCTGTTAATTCAACTACTTGCACTTGAAATCACTTCCAACTAAATCCATTTGCGAAATAAAATTTTGCATTTAACTACCTGTAGAAACTTTGAATCATTCGAGTTAAACGAGTTATTTGAATTTCAATGTAAAAATCTTACGGAACACTAAATTTCAAATACAAACTTTTATAATTTGAATGTCTTATTTCTTGTAAATAACATAATTAATAGTGCTTTGAAGTGAAATCACATGAGAACAATGTAGTATATTTTTATGTCGGGGGTTTAAAATTGGTAATAAAAACTGGTAATCATAAAATTACATCTATCAACGTTTATGATTACTCAAGATTATTGCTTTACGGATATTGAAGGTATTAAATCCTAAATCCTATAATAATTTATAAAGTTTATTAAGGTATAAACCGGACATTTCATCAATCCGTGTTTACATTTAATAGAATACGCTTCAGATAATAAACTCAACAAATGTAATTATGTGACCATCTGATAAAAAAGTTGTAGTCATAAATACTTATTCCTGTGATTTCCACGACACTTTCATTCTTTTACCGAGATTTCAATCAAAATTTTCTCTTTTTTTAAGAACAAAAACACAACCAAACCAAGTATTTAAAGCAGTGCTTTTCAGCGAGGCTATTAACGGAAGCATTTGTAATTTAGATTTCGTTTCAAATTTCTTCAAAATTTCATTCGAGTCGCGTGCCATTTGTTCGTACTTGATAGAAGTAAAACATGGAATCGATATTTCTAACAATTTAAACTCCGCTGAACGCTGAAATACCTCGAATACATTGTTTCACACGTGCTTTGTATCATAAATCCCAACATATGTTCCGTTGTTTTTCAACTATTGTTCTTCGGCTTTGTAATTAATGAAAATCCAGCTGGGCCTTGTATCAATTAAGCATTCAAGATCGTGTGCAACCAAGCACGTTCGCATAATCTCGAATTTATTTCTGATTTCGAGCTTACAATTAAAAGCGACAGTTTGACACAAGTCACTAAGGTACTCGTACTAGGTTTATTCTAATTAAAAGTTCATGATTTATTCATGATTTCTGTAGACCTATTAAGAAACCATTTCCTTTCCTCATATTACAATTATGATAGAGTTGAGAGGATCAAAGAAAATTGCTTTCGCCTGGGAAATACACACGAAACAAGATTAAATTAAACAAACGACTAAAAATAACATTACCGGGAAGAAACCAACCGAGTAGAAGCCCTCACAGCAGTGCTCTTATGTAAACGATTTTTAAGCAAAAGATAAATACATTAATATGTTAAACTTCAATTAAAATAAAAAATAAATTACAATACTGTAACGGAAGAGTTAGTGAAAAATGTGTAAATATGAGAACTCCCCGTCAATTTATTCAACCACAAAACGTGGAGTTGAGCTTTTAAGCCAGAGTAATATTAATTTGAACACATACAACTTTAACATAAACCTTTATACTGGCGAGCTTTTTCAGTTAGCGCTGACTCGTGTATGTGAATACATTAAAAACCATGTGTCTTACTCAGACTGGAAAAAACTCTTGATCAGCATAAAGGTTTCCAGAGAATTAAGCAAAGTAAAATGCATCATCATGTAGGTGTACTTGTATTGTATGCTTTTTTTACTGGAAAACTCCCAAAACTGGTCTTAGGAGTAAACCTCGTTGAAGCTATTTTCCTGCTTCAAGCTCGGCCGATTTTATGCAGATGTACCTACTTGTTAAACTTTTCTGTTATCCACCAACATACTTTTTCATTAACTTTATTGTTCAAGCTTTACAATGAAACACGTATATGGTATAAGTTTTTATTTTCCTTGTCGGGAAAAACAGGTTTTATAAGTGGGATTTATTATTATACACAAGAATCTTTCAGGGTGGATATGTTATCGTTACATTTACTCCATTTCCCTTTCGATTTTGAGTTTCTTATTAGACATTATAAGGATCTAACACGCGTCGATAATACAAGTTTTCGATACGAAGGCTGAAAGAAAAGATGTCATATTCAAGTGGTAAATAAATATTTGACGGTTCGTTGATGTTCGAAAATTGATTTGAAGGAAAAATCTTACTGGTCACTTCACAAAACCTTTGTAAATTGACAGCAGACCGGCCTAAAAATCGACAAAAACCAAACACAATCAACCGCTGTCAGAGTGGTGCAACAAATACGCAAAAACAAACACTTTCGAGCAACGTTCATTAAAAGTTTCATTTGGTATAGTTCGTTCATTTCCAACTCGTTATCTACTCAGAAAAAAATCAATAATAACGCTATTATGTGAAAAATGACGCTTCGACATGAATAGCTTCATGAATTTTTAGAGCTTTGCTGGCACCAAATAAAAAGCACATTTCAGTCGCAAGAATATAATATACGTATAAATTTATTTTTGCGAAATACCGACCTTGGCCTTGGTCCATTAAATACTCGGTGTAACATCTGTGTACCTAAATTTCGAAGATTAATGAAAAAGGATACATCCTGAGGGAGCCACATTTTGAACCGATAGCTAGTAATCGCTGCACAGGGTCGTAAGCCATCGCCGTTGGTTGGAAAGGGAAGCCATGGCGAAACGTCTGAAAATAAGCATTTTTATACTCTCGTGTCACATACATATATCACTAATGAAAAAATTACGAAATAACACATTGATTAATATTCATTTTAAAACCGCACGTTTGAAACTGTAATTTGTATTTATTTCAATGAAAACTCTGCAAACATAATTTAACTAAATGCTAAACAATCGAATTTAATTAAATAAAACACGTACCAACATTACTGATTTTCAGCAGCTACTGCATTATCAACACTATCAAATAATATTCGTCGCTTATTGTAATAATTGTAATGTAATCGGCAACCAAATCCTTCATCTAAATATAGAACAAGATAAGTTATATCGCCGTGACAAAAATATACACAGTGATTTAGTAAGAAAAGTTTTGATCTATAAAGTAACATTTATAATAAGCTTGTTGCAAAAAGAAAAAAATCCACACCTAGTGATTATTATCCTGAAATTTATTAAATCCATTTCTGCTTTAAAAATTTCTAACATAATTCCGCCGTGTGGCAAACTGATAATTAAACATCAGAAAATTAATTAAATATTGCGTAAAATGAGCAAGCTTATAAAATATATTTTCATTTTGTTTCAGGCAATTTCAATTTAATATATGTATTACGTAAATATCTGTTACAAAATGAATGCCTCAGTGTAATATGTAACTCTGTTAGAAAATATTCAAACCAAAGTTAATTAAAATTAGTAATGTGCAACTAACTCAATAAAGTGAATGTTCAGAGCAATTTGAAACAAATTTTAACCAGCAATATTTTTTTAAAGCTCATACTTATCTTACATCTTTATTTCAATTATTATTCATTCTATCTTAACAATACCTTCATCATTTTATTGTGATTTATTCAATAAAAAAATTAAATGCCTTCATAAATCACAATAAGCAATAATTAAATTCTCAGTTCAGTGTTTATTATTTCTCTAAACACAAAAATCGCAGCTCAAATCCTGTGGTAGAAATCCTATATTTTCACAGTAAATATGACTGAAAGCTTTAATCTCAAGGGTGAATTAATCTCTAGTTTACTTCTGTCTCCAATTAAAATAAGAACCTTCACAAAAATCATAATGATCATCTTAAATGATATAAAATTTCGAAAGAAAAATTAATTATAGACATTACTGTAGCTTCAAGTCGTCTGTTTTATTCATGAACAGACATAAAAAAAGCAATCAGCAAAACAGCTTCTTCAGTAAAAAGCAACTTATTAAAATGCATAAACTTATTAAACAGTATGGTTCAACACAGATTGAGTTTGTATAATTAAAAACCTAACAAAGCTGAATTTTTAATCACTTTTACAAAGTTTGACATCATGAACTAATAACAGAGAACGGCGAAGAGATTTACACGGACTTGAAAATTACTACGTTTTACGGTAATGATAGCCTTTTGTACGTTCACGTACCGTGAAAAAACTCTCTTAATTCTCCTTCAATTTTAATATATCAAGTCCTTTACAAAATCCCAGAATAAAGGATCCAAAGAGAATATCATCATTTCGAAACTGACTATTCAACATGGCTGTGTAAATTTCATCATGCAAATTATTATTAGCAACATAACAGGATGGACGTGAGCAACAGTCGCAATAATGTGGTAATTGATGAGCTTAAATCGAACATACAAAGAGACCGTGAGTAATTACACGAAATGACAAGCGCCAATAAAGGTATTTCAAATGCAAATAAACACTAAACATTCGCATTGTAGATAATGTTACACATATTCAGAAAATGTAAAGGTAAGTTATAGCTTTTAATGAACAAAAATTTAATAAAAAATGCATTGAGCTCGATTATGTTGAAAAGCTGTAAAATACTTTAAACACCTATGTATTTTTACTTGAATATAAAATTTAAAATGTCGAACTAGATAATTACATTTTGGTAAGTCAATCAGAAGATAAAATTTTCATCCAGAGTTCAATTAAGTAAATGTAATTAGCCTCATGTCAATTTCTAATTTGAGGTTTCATCTCATGCATTATTTCTAAAACACCAAACCGGATTTTGTGGTTTACAACCGAAGCGGAAAATTAAAAGTTAACTGTAAACAATATTTCATGCAAGCAATTTTTCGTTTTAAATGTATATATGGAAATTGAAATGTCTTCTAAACCGTCCTAAACGTAACGATAGCAAAAATATTTTCAGCAACACATAATTAATTAAAATCCTTAGGAAACATGAAATATTCGAACAATTTCGTAAACATTCATCGCTGAAATTTTCTCGTCATAATGTCACAGGAAGATAGTTGAAATTTTTGCCACTACTAGTAAAATAATCTGTTCCTGTTTACCATCCTTTCATTGAACGTCGCCCCAGTAACTTCATGAATTTTCAAGCGAAATGTTCCGTCTCATCTGGGAATTTCGTCTCCGAAAATACAAGAAGCCATGAATTATTATCGCATCTCGTCTACGTTTCTCGGTAGACACGACCAGCCTCAACCGTCCCCGTGCAGATTTACAATAACAGCTGGCGTTCATTTTTTATTTATAGTCGGGTATTCGTCAAGAAGGTGTTTTTCGAGGTCGCTCGAGAATATTATGTAAGCTCGGTTTAAGTTAATGGAGGCCTCGACGCCGGCACATACACACTTGTTGACTGGAACACCACGACGCCGCCACCACGATCGATATGCTGAGGGCGCCGACGATGGCTGACGTCAATCATTAGCCCATCATGCAGAGGTGTACGTGGTTCCGGAAAGATCCAACACTCGATTTACAAGCGAGTTTTATTAAGCCGTCATTCATGATTCCCAGCTGTCACTACTTTTTACCCACTTAACTAACAAACACACCAGCTTTAAGCCTCTGATTTTTACAAATATTTTATTAAATTTGATCTTAAAAAATGTGCTTTTAATCTTTAAAGAAACCAATTACAAAAAAGTCCTTTTTATGTTTTTCATTCGTGACCGGACTCTCCGGAGCTCCAGAGAATATTGGTAGTTACGCCTTCTTTAAAATCGCAGCTACCATAAAAGAGATTTTATGGCACGAACTGTTCGCACATCTCGCGCTAATCTTCCCTTTTTGCATAATTTGGAGCGTCCTGTCGCAATGACTTTTGGATTACTTTACCTTTCTCTCTTGAAAAGTGTCACCATCAATTAGATAAATTCTGAAAAATTTTGTTGAAAGTGCGACAAATTTATGCCGTTATCCTGTATACTGTCGCTGAGTTAATCGAATTATGGGATTCATGCACATGTGTGACAGACACAACGGATTATTCTAGAACAAAGAGCTGAAAATGTTGTTACAAAGCTGTATTATATCTTGTTTGTGATTTCCGACGGTCTATTTGAAACGTCATCAGCTGAGGTAAAGGCTTTCATCCTCAACAGACCGTTTACGTCTTATTTTCCGCTGCTGGTTGTTTATGTTTGACCAACAATGTGACTGGTGTGCGTCTAAACATTCATATTCGACTTGCCTAAAGCAGAGATATTGTTAAATTTCTGGTTACAATACACAAACATCTATTGCTTTCTTTCAAAAAAATTTCGGTTTTCTGTCTTTTTAATATTCCACAATAAGACCACAATTCCTGAACATTTCCAAACAACTTGAAACTAAATATGCGGTCCTGTGGTAGATAAACAACCTTTCTATCCATTCCACGAACAAGATGTTATCCCATTGTGTAGCGCTTAATTAAGTCCTCTTTGTAAACTGAAAAGTTTCTTTCATTTAAATGGTAATACTTGAGCGTTTGTTATACATTTAGTTCAAATATTAAACGAAATTTTGTTACTACTTCTGTTTTAACAGCATAGTAAATGCCTTTTCTATAACATTTCATGTAATTTCAGCTGGTCTCTGCATATCGTATCTATTCAGGAAAACTTTTCAAGAATATACGCAAACCTAGTTAGAATTTCCCTCTTTTATGAAAATGTAAGTTACTATTCTTAAAATCCTTTAAAAGCCAACCACATATTTACTTTTCACAGAATATTTATAACATTATTGCTATCTCTAGCGTTTTAATGATAATAAAAAGTTAAAAACTACACACAAAACCATCAAAAAAAATTCTTTTTCAAATTTTTCAGACTTTACGAGTTACAACAATTACGAAACTATAAAAGGTTTTTTTTTCTATTAGATAACTTAGAAAATGGTTAGTTAACAGCAGATGGTCGCATCTAAATATAGTGTTATTTCTTAATAGATTGATATGACAAATAAAAAGTATCTTATATAAATCCAAATGACAGCTGAAATATTGTTTTCGTTCTGTTGTATGAATTTATCAGGAAACCGATAAACACTAACATATTTCTTGTTATGTCCTTTCGTTATTCATTGTAACGAAATATAATTTTTCTTGTAACAAAATATAATAAATCAGCATTTTAAACCAATTTTAAAGAAAAAATATAACAACCAAATTTTGCGTAAGAAATGTTGATAATGTGCTACGAATAATTAAATAAATATCTATTTTTCTTTTAAAGCTGGATATATGAAATTTCATTACCTTTTTATACCTCCAACGTAAACTAATCTTCCTGAATGTTTAAAAAGTAAATTCTTTGACAATATTTATTCTGTCATAAAACTTTTCCTGGATAGTCAACAAAGATTCCTGCCTTGTATCTTTTCAAAACATCAAACCTTTTAGTTTTATCGTTGCAACTATCGGATGACAATGAAAGCGATATGTAAAAAAACATTTGACATAAAAAAAGTAAATGAAGAGAAAAATAAAAAGATATCAATCCGACTTTTACCAAGTTTCCCAAACTTCAGAGATACTACTTAAACATTAACGACCCACCTTCCATTATCCCACACATTCGACAAAGCTTAAAGTGACTTTAAATCCAAACATTTTCCAAATCGCTGCCGTTCCAAAGTAATTCTCTTAAAATTTGGATGGTTTTAAAATCATTTTAAACACGTAAAATTAATGTGAGTTCGTTAAATATTCAATTATCATGTTGGAATACTTTCATTAATTAAAATTTAA